GCTGGTCTTGGACAGGCTTATGTACACCCCAGTGAGAGTTCCTCTGGGTGAGGAAACACTCCTGTCTTCATGGGTGGTAATTAATTAGAACTGGCTGTTCTCTCCTAAGCTAACAGAACTTCAGCAGTATAACTCACAGACAATGTAAGGAAGTTAATTTAATGCCTGTCTTCCATAGTATGTGTAGCTGCTTTTAGGTATAATTGCTAAGCAGAACTTTTTGGAAGTTAAATCTGATGTTACTTTTTCTTTTCTGAAACAGCTCATGAGAGTTCGAACTCTCACGGGGAACACGTACTACATGAGATCAGGTGCCAAAATTATTGGGAAAGTCCATGAGAAGTTCATGTTAATTGATGGCATTAGAGTGACAACAGGCTCCTACAGGCAAGTATTGGGGTCTGCTGGTGCCTAATGCACCCATAGAAAGGGGGGGGGTTCTGCAAGAAGGGTGTATTAACTTTGCTTTTTCCCTTGTATTACTGAATGCCAATGGCAAGTGGACTAGTTTGAGCTAAGTTGGACTAACACAAAACTCTGAACAGCTTTGGAAAGCTGATTTACACTATTTGTAGCTAGCAAAGCACTTGACCATGGCTAAATAGAGCTCTTTCTGAAGAAGACAGTGAATTGTCTGTTGACTTCATACCTTTCTTATACACACCTTTTCTAAGATTAGTCTTGCTACCTCTAACTGTGTTGCAATACCCTGGAGATTCACATTGAATCTTTGTTTGTTTTCAATAGTTTCACCTGGTCTGATGGGAAGCTGAACAGCAGTAACTTGCTGCTATTATCAGGCCAAGTGGTTGAACATTTTGACCTCCAGTTCAGGATTCTTTATGCCCAGTCAATGCCCATCAGCCCTAAGTGGCCATCCAGCTGCAGGAACAGTGGAATATTTGATCACCTGGCAAACAGGATAGAGTCCCCTAAAGAATATACTGTGGAAGGCAACTTGAGAGCAGAATTTGCCAGATTGTCTAGTACTCCAAAGAAACTGCTGAAAGAACTTGATCTGGCTGAAGATACCCCTGGAGGCAAACTTTGCAACTTGGGGCATTCTTGCCTCTGTGAAGAGCAGTGGTTCCGTGATCAAGAGGCCATGGTGGAACGGAAGGGCGTGTCAACTCAGACTGGCCCATGGGAAGGGAAGCCTGTGGTGACCACATGTCATGCTGCCACACAGACCAGGGCTCTGACAGCAGAAATGGGCACTCAGGCTTCTGTTGCTGCTAGAGAGGCAGGCACTCAGACTTCTCTTTTGCTGAAGACTGCAGTGACACAGACAAAAGAAGAGCGGGACACAGAAACACCCCTGCTTCACAGGAAGTTGTCAGAAGAAGGTTCTGCTCTGTTTGGAAGGGCTGTATCAAGTTCTAGCCTGCGATCACTGTCTTCCTCATCATCCCAGTGCTCCCTTACCAGCTCTACTGGCTCAATCTCATCTCTCCGCTCCTTTGAATATTCTACCAGGCACAGGGCAGAATATTTCCAAAAACTGCATAACGAGAGGCAATTCCACTACTCCACTATCAGATCAAAGCTTAGCCACATGGTGGATATCCTGTCCCGGAGGGGCCGTGTGCCTGAACCAGCCCAGAGGGGCCGTGTTCCTGAAAGCTTCCTACCCCAGTACCCAGGAAGGTGCAACCTGAAGCAGCGGCGGGACATCAGCGCCAGCCTGCGCAGCCTCCGGGACGTGTCACTCTTCTCTCTCAAGAAGTGACTGCTGCACTGAGCACAGGGCACGAGAGCTCTGGCCCCAAACTGCAGTCACTTTGTGCCTGCTGATTCTTCCGCTTCCTTCCAGCACTTTTACTTTTTTCATACGTGTGTCCCTTGCCCTCCAGCACTTTGTTTTATCCTATAAACAAGAAGAGGGGTCTGTTTATACAGTAGCTGCTTGCGTGTTCCTTTTGCGTGTGTTAGTGGTGACGGTTCATTTTCATTCTGGATGCTTAACCTGAGAAGTAAACTTATGACTGCTTTCTAGAGTTAGCTAATGTTCTGGCTTTAATTTATGTGCAGCTGGAAAAATCTGAGTCAGACTGATTTTGCTCAGAGTGCCTTTGGAGATTTATCTTACTTCAAGGTACACTCCATTTTTTTAAATGGCTTTTATTTCTACTTTCTCCTTGGCATGAGGAGAAACAACTTTTAAAAAAGCCATAACACTCATTTTATTCTAAGCCTGACTTCAGAGAGAGATACATTACTCTTTCACTAAAGCTGTGAAAGTTCTGTTGGAGCAGTTGTAGGGTCTTATCTTCATTGTCTCCTTTTCCCATTGCTTAAGCCTTCTGAAAGGGACTGAGCTAACCAGCTCTTCAGTCTGATCATCCTTTCATGCCTTTGTGTAAATACATACATACATATGTGTGTGTGTGTGTGTACACATCCTCAGAAGAACATCTTAAAACCAAGACCAGGAAGTAGCAACTCAGCACTCCCAAGATAGCTGAGCCCCTTTTAGGTACAGTCCTGATGTAAATGTTTCTAGTATCTGGAACTAAAACCATATTAGCTCTGTAAGACTATTAATGGAAATGTATTGCTGAAGTGTTGGGTTTTGTGCTTGTGAGTGGGAGATGAGGTGACATCTGGAGTTCAGTATCTCACTGTATCAAACCTGTTGTATTTCTCTTTTGGGATGACTTCAGAAAACTGTCACTTGAGCAACTTGTCACACAGAATTAAGACTTTCAGTCTTAACACTGTAAAATGACCTTCCAATTCTGGCTTTGTCTAAGAATGTCTGAATCATATTGCTTCTGTTAAGAGACCTATAAACTGCTTTCTTCTTTGGAGTTAACTCAGAGATGAGACAAACACTGAGGGCACATGACAGAGCCCTTGCTCAAAAGTAAACTGACAAAAGCACTACAAAATGTTATGGCATATGCTTGGTAATATTATTGTACAAGTAAGTGTAGGAGTGAAAACCAAAAAATGACATTTTTCTTCAAACTGTCCTATCAGATCCTGTTTCCTGCTCTGTTTATTCTTTATCCACTATTAACTTGGTTTGAGGAACTGAAGTGGCACTCTAGTTTTTATTAATATTCTGAATGGATCTTAGGTTAAGCTCCTTTGCAGATACACTACCTGAATATTTATTAGCAGTACTATGTCCTTGTGCTTCCTGGATCACTTATTTGAGCAGTGTGTGGCTTCTCTCTCTGTGCTCTGACCTGTACTGCTATTCCTTAGACCTGCATCCCACCCACTATTTTGGTGAGCAGCTAGATTCTGAATCCTGCCAAGACAAATCAAGAGTTTGGGTAATGTGTTTTCTTCCTTTTTACAGGGATGTGTGTCCAGTAGATGGCACATGTCAGCTGCTGTCTGAATATTCCAGTAAACAGCAATGAATGAGTGAATGAACAGAAAAATACCCAAAGCTGCCACTTAAGTGTAAACAGCAACTAGTAAGTGGCATTTCTATCTCTGAAATCCTTCCTGGACAAAGAGGCTTAGCTACTTTTGTAACTTGGATTTCAAAGCAGCCACTCCCTAAAACTATTATGCAGATGTGCAAAGAGGGACAGGTGGGAAAAACGCTCTGCCTGCACTTGTTTTGAAAGATACTTCCTTGCACAGCTCCTGGAGCTGGAACACCCTGAGTGAAGCAAGTTGCAGGGAGGGAGCCCATCTCGAGTTATGTCTTTAAGAGCTTCTGTTCCACAGTGCTTGACTGTGTAAAATCCACTTGTTCTATGTGCTATTTAACTTGATGATTACACTGTGTGGCTGTGCTGGTACTCTCACAGGAACAAGGAATAGTTTACAAATAAACTCCTTTTGCCAGAGGGGTTTTCACCCGATCGTTGCTGAGCTTTGTTTTCTATTTATTTGGCATTTTGAACCAGGGTGACTAAGGCAGCACTTCCCCTCCTGCCGGTGCTTTCCTGCTGCTCCAGCTCAGCAGAGCAGCCTGAACTGCAGCTGCCGGGCCGGGAGGACCTTAGGAGCAGCCTTTTGATCGGGGGCTGAGGAGCAGGTCGAGGGCTGGACTTGCTCTCCCTGCTTCCTTCAAGTTTGTTTAGCTGTGGGCGGGTGGCAGGAGAGGGGAAAAGCCACCTGCCCCCCCGGGCTTTCCCTTTCTCTCCGGGCTGCGCGGGGCGGAGCGGAGCCCGCTCAGCCTTGTGGCCGCGTCCCTGAGCGGTGCCACCGGCTCCCACTGCCCCGCGGCCGAACGGGAGGCGTGGAACAGCATCCAGGCTCGGGGAC